GAAAAAAAAAAAAACCCAACTAATTTATAGCCAGATCTGTTCCCTGCCCTGACTCACGGCACAGCAGGTGAGTCAGCAGGGGTTGAGTCAGTGCTTGCTGCAGCTCTGTCTTTGTGTCTCGCAGGCTCTGAAAGTGCCTGTGCTCAGTGCAGCTGGTCAACCTAATTTGTGTTTGGAGATGCTGTGTCCACAGTAGTCCAGCTGAAAGGGCTCCTGGCAGCCCCTCTCATGTGTTTGGGGAACATCCCCCAAGTGTCCCTTTGCATTGGCTGTCCATACCTGTCCCACAATGGATTTCTCTCCCTCTCTCTCTTCCCTTCCCTTCTTGCTCCCTTTCCTGGCAACATATTTCCATCCTGTGCAGGGGAAATCCAGTGGCTTTCAGCAGCGAGTATCATACAAGCAAGAATGTCTTGGCAGGCTGGCCTTCCCGTTAGGAAAACAGATGTTTCTACAGCAATTGAAGTTTTGTGAAGAGCTTCCCCTCAGCCTTGGAGGGACAAGAATCAGCAATGCGAGTATTGTGATCTCTAACCCCCGTGTCCCCCTAAGATCTCCCCAGCTGCTGCTCCAGGCTGTACCCAAGCAATTGCCAGGATGGATGCTTTGTGTCACTTCTGTTTTCTTTCACCTCCTGAAAAAACTGATACTTGGCTGGTAGCTTTGGAAGCGATTCAGACCTCGGTCTCTAAATCCTGCTCTGTCACGTGGGTAGCAGGCTTCCCTGAGCCGGATCAGACACCTCACTTATCTAAAAAGGGGGGAAGAAAAATGAAAGAGTCCACCTGAAACAACTCAGAGAGTTGGCCAGGGGCATTAGCCAGGCCCCGGAGGTGATGGTAGTTCAGCAAGATCCTTACCCTTAGTAATGCCTTAGTGCCTTCCTCCCTGATCCCTCTGGCCCTGCCAGCTGCTTCCGAAGGTTTTAGGGGATGCTCCAGGCTCACTCAGATCTGGACCCACTGACTACAGCTATTTTTTTGCTCCCGTCCCCATAGGAAGCAGTGATGTAAATGCCCTGGATTTTCTGGAGGGTGTTGGCTGGCTGGTGAATGCCATGTGTCATTGGTCCCCGGTGACAGTGTCCCCAGGTCTCCTGGGGCAGGATCTCCTAGAAAGAGGACGGGTGTTTCCCTGCAGAGCATTTCCCCACCTCATACATCATGTTTATGAAGCAGCTTGCGAGACCTGTGACCACTGCAGTGACACTTTTAACTGGAAGCATGGACAATGGCACTGTACCTGGGACAGCCAGTGGATTCCTGGCTCCCCGGGTTGCTTCTGCTCTCTGGGGCTGCTGTGGGCTTGGGCATGTCCGAGGCTCACCACGGGGCCAGAGGGAGAAAGGTGTGGGCTGGGATTCAGGGCCCTCGATTGCTGGATGGAGGGGAAAGGGGCTGGTTCCTCCTGACCTGCGTGCTCTCCGTTCCCCTGCCAGGCCTACCTGAGAGCTGTCGACGTGAAGATCCTGCAGCAGCTGGTGGTGGTGAACGAGGGCATCGAGGCAGTGAAATGGCTGCTGGAGGAGAAGAGGACGCTGACCAGCCGCTGCCGCC